TCTCAGCACCACATCACACCTACTCTAAAATTGACCACATAATTGGAAGTAAAGCACTGCTCAACAAATGCAAAACAACTGAAATCATAACAAACAGCCTCTCAGACCATAGTGCAATCCAGTTAGAACTCAGAATTCAGAAACCGACTCAGAACCGCACAGCTTCATGGAAACTGAACAACTGGCTCTTGAATGTTGACTGGGTAAAGAATGAAATGAAGGCAGTAATAAAGAAGTTCTTCAAAACCAATGAGAATGAAGACACAACGTGCCAGAACCTCTGGGACACATTTAAAGCAGTCTCTAGAGGAAAGTATATAGCAATAAGTGCCCATATGAGGAGAATGGAGAGATCCAAAATTGACACCCTATCGTCAAAATTGAAAGAGCTAGAGGAGCAAGATAAAAAAAACTCAAAACCCAGCAGAAGACAAGAAATAACTAAGATCAGAGCTGAGCTGAAGGAGATTGAGACACGAAAAACCCTTCAAAAAATCAATAAATCCAAGAGCTGGTTTTTTGAAAAGATCAACAAAATAGACAGACCACTAGCCAGATTGATTAAAAAGAAAAGAGAGAACAACCATATAGATGCAATAAAAAATGATAAAGGGGAAATCACCACAGATTCCACAGAAATTCAAACCATCATCAGAGAATATTGCAAACAACTCTATGCACATAAACTAGTAAACCTAGAAGAAATTGATAAATTCCTGGATTCCTGTGTCCTCCCAAGCCTAAACCAGGAGGAAGCTGAAACTATGAATACACCAATAAAAGGTCTGAAGTTGAGGCAGCAATTAAGAGCCTACCACACAAAAAAAGCCCAGGTCCAGACGGGTTCACAGCCGAATTCTACCAGACACACAAGGAAGAGCTGGTACCATTTCTTCTAAAACTATTTCAAACAATCCAAAAAGAGGGAATCCTTCCCAAACCATTTTATGAGACCAACATCATTCTGATACCAAAACCCGGCAGAGACCCAACAAGAAAAGAAAACTTCAAGCCTATATCCATGATGAACATAGATGCAAAAATCTTCAATAAAATATTGGCAAGCCGATTGCAACAGCAAATCAAAAAACTTATTCATCATGATCAAGTAGGATTCATCCCGGGGATGCAAGGCTGGTTCAACATATGCAAGTCTATCAACGTAATTCACCACATAAACAGAACCAAAAACAAAAACCACATGATTATCTCAATTGACACAGAGAAGGCATTTGACAAAATTCAACAGCCCTTTATGCTAAAAACCCTCAATAAACTCGGTATCGATGGAACGTATCTCAAAGTAATAAAAGCTATTTATGACAAACCAACAGCCAATATCATACTGAATGGGCAAAAACTGGAAGCATTCCCTTTGAAATCTGGCACTAGACAAGGATGCCTTCTTTCACCACTCCTATTCAATATAGTACTGGAAGTTCTAGCCAGAGCAATCAGGCAAGAAAAAGAAATAAAGGGTATTCAAATAGGAAAGGTGGAAGCCAAATTGTCTCTATTTGCAGACGACATGATAGTATACCTACAAGACCCCATCGCCTCAGCCCAAAAACTCCTGAAACTGATAAACAACTTCAGCAAAGTCTCAGGATATAAAATCAATGTGCAGAAATCACAAGCATTCGTCTACACCAATAACAGACTTAAAGAAATCCAAATCAAGAGCGAACTGCCATTCGCAATTGCTACAAAAAGAATAAAATACCTTGGAATACAACTCACAAGGAACGTAAGGGACCTCTTCAAGGAGAACTACAAACCACTGCTCAACGAAATCAGAGAGGACACAAACAGATGGAGAAACATTCCATGTTCATGGTTAGGAAGAATTAATATCGTGAAAATGGCTATACTGACCAAAGTAATTTACAGAATCAACGCTATCCCCATCAAGCTACCATTGACTTTCTTCACAGAACTGGAAAAAAACCACCATGAACTTCATATGGAACCAAAAGGGAGCCCACATAGCCAAGTCAATTCTAAGCAAAAAGAACACAGCGGGGGGCATCACACTACCGGATTTCAAACTATACTACAAGGCTACAGTAATCAAAACAGCATGGTACTGGTACCAAAACAGAGATATAGACCATTGGAACAAAACAGAGGCACCGGAGGCAACACAACATACATACAACTATACAATCTTTGATAAACCTGACAAAAACAAGCAATGGGGAAAGGATTCCATGTTTAACAAATGGTGTTGGGAAAACTGGCTAGCCATGTGCAGAAAGCAGCAACTGGACCCCTTCCTGACACCTTACACTAAAATTAACTCCAGATGGATTAAAGACTTAAACATAAGACCTGGCACCATAAAAACCCTAGAAGAAAATCTAGGCAAAACTATCCAGGACATAGGAGTAGGCAAGGACTTCATGACCAAAACACCAAAAGCATTGGCAACAAAAGCCAAAATAGACAAATGGGACCTAATGAAACTCCACAGCTTCTGCACGGCAAAAGAAACAGTCACTAGAGTGGATCGGCAACCAACAGAATGGGAAAAAATTTTCGCAGTCTACCCATCTGACAAAGGGCTGATATCCAGAATTTACAAAGAACTCAAACAGATTTACAGGAAAAAAACAAACAAGCCCATTCAAAAGTGGGCAAAGGATATGAGCAGATACTTTATGAAAGAAGACATATATGAGGTCAACAATCATATGAAAAAATGCTCATCGTCACTGATCATCAGAGAGATGCAAATCAAAACCACATTGAGATACCATCTCATGCCAGTTAGAATGGCGATCATTAAAAAATCTGGAGACAACAGATGCTGGAGAGGATGTGGAGAAAAAGGAACACTTTTACACTGTTGGTGGGAGTGTAAATTAGTTCAACCATTGTGGAACACCGTGTGGCGATTCCTCAAGGCCTTAGAAATAGAAATTCCATTTGACCCAGCAATCCCATTACTGGGTATATATCCAAAAGACTATAAATCGTTCTACTATAAGGACACATGTACACGAATGTTCATTGCAGCACTGTTTACAATAGCAAAGACCTGGAATCAACCCAAATGCCCATTGATAATAGACTGGATTGGAAAAATGTGGCACATATACACCATGGAATATTATGCAGCAATCAGAAATGATGAGTTTGTGTCGTTTGTAGGGACATGGATGAATCTGGAAAACATCATCCTCAGCAAACTGACACAAGAACAGAAAATGAAACACCGCATATTCTCACTCATAGGTGGGTGATGAAAAATGAGAACACATGCACACAGAAAGGGGAGTACTAAACACTGGGGTCTATTGGGGGGAAAAGGGGAGGGCCAGTGGGAGGGGGAGGTGGGGAGGGATAGCCTGGGGAGAAATGCCAAATGTGGGTGAAGGGGAGAAGAAAAGCAAAGCACACTGCCATGTGTGTACCTACGCAACTGTCTTGCATGCTCTGCTCATGTACCCCAAAACCTATAATCCAATAAAAAAATTTAAAAAAAAAAACCACACTATATTTTTCAGCAAAAAAAGCTGGAGTACATCTTCCATTAAGTGAAGGGGGCATTTAGGAGGAGACAGCACTCCTCCTAATAGTCACAGATTCTGTGAACACAGTCTGCCAGAGTCTCTAAGCAATGGACGCATAGCATAGACTTCAAACTATTTAGCTAAGAGTGAAATAATTAGAGTTGATTTGCTACGCAAAAGCAGAATTTGAAGTCTGAGTTCAACCAAGGTAATTGTCAGCTGAAACAAACAAAATAAGTACTATTTTGGGAATAATATAGTAGAATCCAGAATCCCCACTACATGTATCAGTAATATCAAAAATTGAATACAAAATTACTTGATAGGGAAGTGACAGGAAAATAAGACTTATTCTCAAGAGAAAATATAATCAACAGAGACAGATTCCAAGATAGAATGAACAGAAAGAACTTTAGAGCAACTATTATTACCATGCTAAATGAAATTGAAAAAGTTTGTGATAAATTAACAGATACATTTTAGCAGACAAATGGAAGCTACTTGACACAAGAAAATCAATATAAATCTAAATTCTCTGATCCATTCTATACAAATTAAAGAATTATTTTGGTTTATTTTCTTTCTCAGAAGTCTCTTCCAGTATCAGTTATTATTCAAAATCAATAATTCTAGAAAATAACCTCAGAGCCATCTATAAATTATTTTTTGATTATCTGAATGCTTCATTGTTTACTACAGGGTTACAATGTTGACTGGAATGTCCGCTCTTCTTTTTCCTCTGCACAGGCATTCACAAACTTTTTAAAGGGGCCAGATAGCAAATATTCCAGGCTTTGCAGGCTAAAGGTTTTCTGTTGCAAATACTTAACTCTGCTATTTTAGTGTGAAAGCAGACATATACAATACATAAGCAAATGCGTGTAGCTGTACTCCAATAAAACTTAATTTACAATCAGCGATCCAGATTTGGTCTGTAGCGCATAGTTGACTGACATTTTCTCTCTAATATATTTTACCTCATTCAAAATATAGATCAAAATACATTTTATAATTAGGCCTCGGAGGACCAGACCATTTTGCTTACTCTGTAATATTTGTAGTCACTCTAGAAACAAAAGTGAATAAGAAATTTAAATAAAAGTACTTGGGGGAGCTGCTAAAAAATGTTATCTGTATATTTGCCTTCTTTCTGCTATGAGACTATAAATTACTCAGTAGTGATCCTCCAAGTCTCTCATTTTTGGGTACGCAAAAGGTGAACAAATTATGATCATGGTGATCAGGGAAATCAACATAATATTAATGTAAACTTCTTACAAAGTATCCAAGTGATGTTTGTCATGAAAAAAAAAATATTAGCAAAGAGGACATCCACTTTAAACCTATGTTTGATCTGTTTCTGGAGTGATCACGTAGTTTGTAGCATAGCCAAGGGAAGAATAGGCATATATGTGGTATTCATCTTTTTTCTTTGGTTTGTAAGACTGAATAAATGGACACAATGAAAATAAAATTTAACATCCAAGATATGTATGAGGCTGTATTTGGTACAAATATGTATTTACAACACACAACACTTATTTGGGTTACTTGGTTAGAACTGAAAAAAAGAATTAATCGAAAAAACAAATACCAGTACTAAGGCTCATCACAACTGCTTTCAATTATGAGTTAACTGGCGTGGTGGTTCACGCCTGTAATCCCAGCACTTTGGGAGGCCGAGACGGGCGGATCACAAGGTCAAGAGATCAAGATCATCCTGGCCAACACGGTGAAACCCCGTCTCTCTCTCTATAAAAAAAAGTTAGCTAAATACATCCACCGCATTTCATTCTTCCCAATAATTTACTAACAAGCTCTCTTGATATAGGTTCAGTATATCTTCAGCAGTGAAATCAATTTAGTTCCAATGACCAAAGTGATTCTATTATAATTCCCTGGATACATTTAGTGTCCACAAAAGTCACGTATCCCTGTCCTACTGGAGAGCTCTGGCTCACATGGATGTCGGATATGCCTATTAGAGCCTTAGCTCAGTTTTGCTCAGGTTGGAGTCATTAGGAATGAGTCTTCCTCCTCCTTTCTCATCCTGAGGCCTTGATGCAGTGTGGGTCTCTACCGTCCGCTCTGATGGGATTTTTGTTGAGGTAAATCAGATTTGTGTTGAGCCCTCAGAAAAGCAGCCTGTGCATCTCTATCCCATACAATAATGTCACATCTAGGCATCCTCAGCTCAATTAAATGACCCCCAAAAATGCAGTTTATAAGGAATATAAAATATTAACATAGAGAGGGAGGAATCTCTATTTCAAGTGACTCTCTTGTCAGTTTAATTGGTACTTTGAGATATATGCTTAAGACACATGGAGTTCATCACTATACTCTCAGTGCCTAGCGCAATACCCATCATATGTATGTTTGATAAATAATAAACCAATAATCTTAAAATAACAAATTAATAGTTCTTTACAACAATTTGTATTCTATCAGTTGTATTCTGTTTTACTGTCTGTTACAACAAAATTGTTCAAAAGTTAAACGAAACTTTGGAATTATTAATAAAAGGGTTACAAAATTGCTTTATTTCTTCCCTACTAATAAGATATAGAAAGGCCCAAAAGGAATACATTTTCCATTTTAATCTTTAATATAAAATAGTTTATTTCATTCATAAAAATATCTTCCTTTTTTCATAAAACGTAGGAAATCAAGAGGTTTTTTATAAAACCTGGCATGTTAAAACAGAATTGCCTTTTGACTTGCCTGTGTTATACATGTGCATATTTCTCTTTGCCACTCTGCCCAAGTTTGCATACAGTCAGGATATGCTTAAGAGAAATCACAGTAGTTTAAAGAATCATCCTAATCCCAAATCTCATGTGAATGTATTGTTTTCCACATCAAGAATTAACATCCAGAGTAGTCAGGTGTTCATGAGCCAAGCTGCACAAATGAGCTGATGAAGAAAGATCCACATAACTCAGACGCTAGCCCACCCCTATCAACCACAGTCTTGCGGAATGCTATTTTGAGAGGCGATTTGTCTTTCAGTATCCAATCCTTTAAGACATAAGAAACATATCCCACCACGGCTTCTCCACACAACTCTCTACGTCTACTTTCCCAAAGTTGCCTTTTACTTCCTTACCTCCAGGACAGCAGTTCCTCAGGGCAGCTGCTGCATTCCACCTATAGTCTGATGGGAATGCTGCTTCAAGAGGTAAATGTGGGGTGCAGTGGAAACGATTCTTTACATCTTTACAGCCCCATAAAGCCCCTGCTTTAAAGCAAGAAGGAAACAAAATTAGACATATCAAAATAAAAGATAAAATGTGATGGAACCAATCAATGTTGCTTATGAGCACCCACTTCCTGCTTTATACTGTGTCTACAGGAGTTTAAATATACCTGTGAAGTGTGTGTGTGCCTGTGTGTGAGTGTGTGTGTGTGTGTGTAATCAGTACAATAGGAGTTTAAAACATAGCCACTCTTTTCTCTTGCTTGTAATCTTGTGGAGGCAAAACTAACCCACTTAAAACAAAAAAAGCATAATATATTCAGATGCCTGTAGTAAGTATAATAGATATTTAGAAAAGAAAATAGGGTTATATAGAGTCAACTTTAATTCTTCTATCAGTGATATTCAAAAGTAACCTGCATTGCTATCTACACAGTTACTAAGAAATTATCCTACTTATTTAAGTTGCTAAAGCTGAACCCTTCACAGTAAAGCTAAATCTGAAACTATCACCCCAGAAAATGTAACACAGAGGTTAATCACACAAACACTGCAGCTGGAAGGCCTGCACTGATGTTTTGACTTTGTTAGGTATGTGACCCTGGGAAAGTTATTTCATCTCTTTGTGCCTCTCTTTCCTAATTTGTAAGATGGTATGTTTCTATGTTTCCTATGGGGTTACAGTGAAAATTAAATATATTCATGTTATTTCTAGAATGGTACCTGCTGGTAAGTATCATGTAAGTTTTCACTATTATTTCAAATACAAGGATTTGTATAAGCATTATGTGAGCATTTGCTATCATTTCTGGTTTGTACCATTACATAGCTGACCTTCTCCAACTTGGTAATATGATTTGGGACTGATGGACCAGCACAGTACCTTGCAACTGGAAGTTCGTGGTTGCCGAATGAAAGAGTCCAAATCAAGCAGAGTACAGATAGGTTGAGTGTGCCCAGAAGGCATTGGAATATGTTATTTAAAAAACTGGCCTCATCCTCCATTTCTCTGAGAAAGAAAACAGAGTTACCTTAGAGGGTTAAGAAACCTTCACATCCAGAGGCTGATAAACTATGGCAAAATACTGAAATTATGTTTCAATGTGCTAGTTTTATGGCTGACTGAAGACTCAATTAGCCAAGGGAGGCATGTATACATCACTGCTTCTTTCATCCTGAATATGTCATGCAGATAAATTTATTCAATGTCCTGAGATTTTCAGATATAACCATCAGTGCCACACTGCTTGAAAGTGGTAGGAAATGGCGGGTGCAGTGTCTCATACCTGTAATCCCAGCACTCTGGGAGGCTGAGGCAGGTGGATCACCTGAGGTCAGGAGTTCAAGACCAGCCTGGCCAACATGGCAAAACCCTGTCTCTAATAAAAATACAAAAAATTAGCTGGGCATGGTGATGGGCACCTGTAATCCAAGCTACTTGGGAGGATGAGGCAAGAGAATTGCTTGAACCTGGGAGATGGAGGTTGCAGTGAGCCAAGATTGCACCATTGCACTCCTGCCTAGGGGATAGAGCAAGACTTTGTCTCAAAAAAATAAAAAATAAATGAATAAATATGTAAGAAAGTGGTAGGCAATCAGACAGACTAGACATGTTGTCTTAAATCACTCAGTTATGTTTCTCTCTTGATAGAAAAATTTTGTATTCTCTTTTCTTTAGACAAAAAGTTAGAAAGTTCACACCTACCTCCACGGCTGAAAGATGAGAGCCCAGTTTGGGGATACCCTTGAAGATAACTGTCTCATACCACACATTATTTTGTGCTTCTATAATGTTTTACAATGACTTTTTTCAAAAGTCACTTTTACATCTATTGTTTGCATATAGCCAGACAAAAAAGCAGTTGTCTTTATCCTCATTTTTTAATGAGCAGACTGTGGATTGAAGACAAAATGTTTTCTCCAATCACCTTTTCACAGCAAAAATGGGACTAATCCCAGTTTGACTGGCCCTCAATCCCCTTCTTTTTTCTGATCTTCATTGCTAAATAATTTTTTTTTAATTTTTCAGAGACACGAGTACGATGACACAATCTCAGCTCACTGTGATCTTGAACTCCTGGATTCAAGCAGTCCTCCCACCTCAGCCTTTCAAGTATATAAGACTACAGGTGTATGCCACCATGCCTGGCTATTTTCTCTTCTATAGAAACAGAGCCTTACTGTGTTGTCCAGGCTGGTCTTAAACTCCTAGGCTCAAGTGATCCTCCTGCCTCAGCCTCTCACAGTGCTGGAATTACAGGTGTGAGCCACTGCACCTTGCCTGAAAATTTGAATTTTCTTAACTTCTGGTTAAAACTGCAAAAATAGTGCTGTAAAATTACTTGAAGAAAGTGTATTATCCTAATTTTTATTGCTTTATACTTTATCCAGTTGTATTTGTATCCAAGAGGAATGAAAAATGAGCAAAATGAAAGCAACACTCTCTATACCATGTAGAGCTATAAAGTCGTAGGTTGATAAAGTTGAAAAGAGGACTTGACAAGTAATCTAGATGCAAAATATAGAATAAGGTAAATTATTATCTGCTATCCTGGCAGCTATGACAGAACTGAAAATACAGGTATTTGCATCTCCAGAACACTTTGTCATGCAGTTGGGAAGAATGCAGAATGGAGAGGGGTTCACTTACCTACTTCCACTGCTCTGCTCCACTGTGAGGGTCTTTGCTTAGTCCAAGATGAGAGTTGACTGGGGCAACAGAGGTAGCTATGAAGTAGAGTGAAGTTTATTCCTGGAAACATTCCACCCATTGCCATTCCTACCATCACCCCTACACTGCTCACTGCCTCTCCACTATCTTTTACCATATTTAATAAATGTCTTTATGCTATCCACCACTATCCAAGGCTTCACACTATGAACTACTACAAGGAACGTCTTTCCCCAAGAAGTAAGTGCCTTTCCCCTCTACACTTGCTAACTTGTAGTTATCACATCAACTTCATGTACTCCTCCACAAACATTTGTGGGCCCTATTATTTATTAGGCACAAAATTTAGCTTGTAGCTTCTCAACTCACCAAAATTCTTAATCAGATAAAATGCAACTCTGAGTTCCAAAAGATTCTGATGCTAGAAATATCAGTTGCACAGCAGGCCAACAGAGCCTGGTACTTCCAACCCCCAAAGACAGAGAGGGCAATAAGTCATGTGAGGCAAGTCTGATGCTTGAATGGCTGAGCAGAATCAGGATCTGAGAGTCGCCCTAGCCTTCCTGTTCTCTGAACAGCTGCTGAGCCCAAGCTTTCATCAGAGAATGCATGAGTAGAAGGGAAGTTCAACCATGGGCAGCTGCCAGGCAGCTGAGGATATGAGTGACCAGCAGATATTAATCTGGCTTATTCCCTTTATGCCCCAAAGTCAAATAGATCTTTTCACAAAAAGTAGAATGAGGTCTAATGCACACATGTGACCTCAGGTTGAGGAGCAGCAAAGTATTTCCAGATATCTCCACTGATGTTCAGAAAGATGCCCCAGTTTTCTCCACGCAGTTGAAATGCCATTTTTCAACCCTCATAGCACTTGTCATGAATAAACCAGACAGGCTCTGTTAACATCTGAAATTCTACGAGTATTTTTCAGCCTTGGCCAGCATTCTAAAGAGAACAGCATAATTCTCACCACTGCAAAGTCCAAGGAAATCAGAATATGAACCCACTGTTGATATATATTCTTTTGACATACACGATTTTACTGAAACTGCTGACTTGAAATTTGAAATGCAAAGATGTTTCCTTTGAAAATTTTACAGGGACTATGACTTCAAGAAAGCTCTTTTTATCCCTATTACAATAATGCCATATTGCCTACCTGTTTGAATTCACTGTGTTCTTAAAATGTAGAAGTCTTTTCAAAAAGGTTCAAACTATAACACCAGACATAAGCCCCCTTTGTCTATATTACTCACTTTATAATTGTATACCAATCACCAGTATGAAAGATGTTTCGTTTAGCACTATAGCTAGCAGTACACCCATTCCTGCACTTCTGACACATCTGCCAAGGTCCATGTTGAAGTCAAAATATCATGTATTCCGTGTTGCTCTCCATTTGCTAGGAAGATACATGATATGGGAATAGGCAAATTGACTTTGCACTTTGGTGTCTGCTGAAATTTTTTCAGATCCTTGATACCTGGGAAAGTGGTTCAGATAGCTGGCCAGACCAGACACAGTGCACCCCTGTTCCAAGGAAGGTGAAGCAATACGCTGGCCCATTCCGAAGCATTGGGGGAGGAAATGCTGTTTGAGTGGGGAAGTTGCTAGTTCTGAAGACTGAGTGATTTAAACACACTGTGAGGGAAGTTATTGGTCAGTTGGTAGGTCAGCCATGGTCTGAAGACTTTTTCTTTTAACATAACAATTTGTTTTCAGACTTTTTGAAATCTCCAATAGACTCAATGCTAGCCAACTATTTAGTGGTTTGTGAAGTTTTTCAGTGTTCGTGTCTACTGAAGTTCTTCAGAAATCCATTTAAAATGTTGTTTCCTTTCCATATGGCATTCTACAAAGGAATAAGGGATTACAAATTTAAGATTGTGACAAAAAAAGAATTGTCTTTGTAACTATTTCTGTATTTTCTATGCTTTGAAAATGATTTTGATTCATATTTTGCCAAGACTGAATACTATGTTTATTATTGGATTGTGATTTAAAACAAAAACAAAAATACATACATTCCCTTGGCAACTGGAACCATCATATACATACAATCTGTTGTAGGCTTTTGGTTTTCATTATTCACTATGTTTTAAGGTTTGATTGACTCTAGAAATGAGTCTTGAAGAAGGATAAATCCTCTAAGCTTTATTTCAACACTTTCAAAGCATGTTTAGCACAATTTTAAAGTCTAAGACACTGAGCATTGTTTGCAAGGCTTACCTCATTATCTCATACTGTACACATTGGTAATACCACATTTGCATGGACTTTCAAACACTCTTAGGGCTGTAACTTTGTCCATTCTTATGAATATGACTTTACTAGACAAGCCAAGTAATGAATATAACCTTTTAAGAAGTGTTCAGTCTCTGCTGAGACCACGGCTCCCTTCAGGGTGGTTTTCTATTCATAGATTGCTGCACTTTGTGTCTTATGGTCTTCACCCCTTACCCTTCAATTCTGGTTACAACTTCTCTGCTCAGATAATGCATGGCCAATCTGAATGCAGCATCCTCAGGCTGGGCAAGAACCACAAGAAGTCCAGCTAGAGAACTCAATAACATAATGGAATGACTGATGCCATGAGAACTCTCTGACTGAGAGATGTACACACTCAGAGTCAGCAGCAGGAAAGAATTTGAGAGATAAATGAAATAAGGTGGAAGGTGCAACCAGGCGGTAGAAGCCTGAAGGAAGCACAATCCATCAGGCTGCAGACTTCATTCTCAAGCAGAAGTTATGACATAGAAGGAAAGAAAGAGAATGGAAAGATTTATCAGTGGTAGAAGATTTAGAAGAGAAAATAGGTAGAGAACAAGGCAGGGGGGAAACTGAACCATAAACATGCAGAGTACGAACGGGGGTTGCTGTGCATCACCGCAGCTGAGATATTAGAGAAATGAATGCATTCTGACCTGCTGCCCCATCCTCTGTAAGTTTGACTGTGGAGTTCTTGAGATTATACCCTGTCCTCCTTTATTATCCTTACAGCACATCCTTGCTAACTAAAATACAAGAGTAGGGCATTTTCCAGTTTCTGACAAATGACATTGAAACCTCAATAATTCATTTACTATAAATGAAATATCCATTTTGTGGATTGGTGCCCTGACAGGTTCTATGAAGTCTATAAATATGAAAATCTTTAATTACTGCTTTCAAGGGGCTCATTTGTTTAAAGACATCAGTCCATAGCGTGGTTGATGAAGGGAAGGAAGACTTAAAAGCAGGCACTATGGAACCAAATTGCCTGGTTTCAAATTCTGGCCCCAGTGTCAAGTAGCTATATGACCTTGGGCCAGTTCCTGAACCCCTTTGTGCCTAGGTTTCTTCATCTAGAAAAGAAGGAAACACTCTAAAACCTACCCCACAGTAGTGTTCTTGTAAGGATTATATGAGTTAAGTCCTATAAAAAGCTCAGAACAGAGTTTGGAGTAACCAAGGTTGTCCAGGCTCTTCTCAGATGTCTTGAATTTTAGTGGAAAAGGAAGGAATTGGGTGCGTTAGAAGCACCTATTCCTTTTGGGAGAACAGTCTTTATGCCAAACCAGGCAGAGTGGTTGGGGGGTTATACCTAGATTCCAAGGCAACTATCCACAAAACAGACATCCACCCAGTGCACCTGAGCCTTGGCACAGAAGATCTTCTCAGTCACTGACATGCCAGGGAAGGAATTTGGCTCTCCTTCCTCCCTGCCTGGCTCCTGTTGGCGAGACATCTGCTACATATGTTGCTGTTGTTTCTGCTTCACCTTACCCTATATGAGCTTTTTCTCACCCCTTCTCTTCCCTCTTCATGCTTTCTTACAGGAAAGATTCTGGGGCAATTTTCTTTACCGCATATGGAACCACGCAAAACATATATTCCTTCTTGGCTCTGGCGTATTCGTGAGTCGATCAAGACCATCTGTGCTTGCATACCTAATATGCCCCAGTCCACTCCATCTCCTAAATCGAATCCTTTCTGTGTAATTTAACAGTGTCTTTGTGCTACAAAGCCCTTAATAATTTCTAAACAAAATTGCTTTAATACATTGCAATTGCTAAATGCAATACGGAAATAGTTATTTCTCAAGCCAGCTATAGATTCCAAAGTCTGTGGCTGCCTTGCACAACTTGAAGAACTCTTTGTGAAACAAACTATATAAGACATGTTTCTTCTTTTTATTTTATTTTATTTATTTTTTTTTAAAATTTTTTATTGGATTATAGGTTTTGGGGTACATGAGCAGAGCATGCAAGACAGTTGCGTAGGTACACACATGGCAGTGTGCTTTGCTTTTCTTCTCCCCTACACCCACATTTGGCATTTCTCCCCAGGCTATCCCTCCCCACCTCCCCCTCCCACTGGCCCTCCCCTTTTCCCCCCAATAGACCCCAGTGTTTAGTACTCCCCTTTCTGTGTCCATGTGTTCTCATTTTTGATCACCCACCTATGAGTGAGAATATGCGGTGTTTCATTTTCTGTTCTTGTGTCAGTTTGCTGAGGATGATGTTCTCCAGATTCATCCATGTCCCTACAAACGACACGAACTCATCATTTCTGATTGCTGCATAATATTCCATGGTGTATATGTGCCACATTTTTCCAATCCAGTCTATTATCAATGGGCATTTGGGTTGATTCCAGGTCTTTGCTATTGTAAACAGTGCTGCAATAAACATTCGTGTACATGTGTCCTTATAGACATGTTTCTTAGAAGCCACTCTTTTGTGGAGTCTAGCAACATATCACATTCAATTCTACTAGACATGAACATTGAAAAATTATCAGCAAATTAATTGCCCAAGGCAAGAACCCAAAGCAGCCCTGTGATGTTTACTTGCCCCTTGACCCTTCCGTGGCTGACGTCTCATATGCAGCGCTGAGTCTTTCAGATGCCACTTGATTTCCAATTGATGACTCATACTTATTGTCACTGCAAAACACTAAGGCATGAATTCTACTGATGGAGGGAAATCCAGCTGGAAAGTAACACCATCAGCACATTCTGGAATATGCAATATGGTTACATAATCACAGTCATGTATAAGCACCAAAGATAAACCATAATTTTTAAAATTGTCTGCTTATAAAATTAAATGTTCAGGAATTTTTCAGCAAATTTGGAAATATTTCAAAGATCATTCTTTCAGGGATTTTTAAACTCCCACTAGTATGCCATTTTTTCAAATGAATATTTGAAGTTGTTTTAGTTCTCCTGACTCATTCAGCAAATGCTGTGATTGAAACCTTTGTTGTAAGCAGTAGACTTCGATAGATTCTGTGAGGAATACAACACATCAGAAACAGATTTGAGATTCCAAGGAGTTTACAATCTAGTAAAAGACCTAAGATATTTACATGGGTTCAGCCGATTAGTATCCATATTAAAGATGTCTATGCCCTACCCTCAGGAACCTGTGAATGTATCACCTTAAATGGCAAAAAGTTCTTTGCAGATGTAAAGTTAAGCATCTTGTGAT